GGATAAACAAAACAGCAAATCATTTTGGATTTCTTGCTTACTTGTATTCAGAAGTACCAAAACCTCGTATCTTTTTTTTTCTTTAAAAATATTGTGATATATAAGGTTTGCTTCCTTCCTATTCAAGTTACCAGCATTATTCCAAGACATGATCATTTCACTTGCAATCATTAAAACCTCCAGTTCAAAAAGCCCAACGTGGTTACTCCACTGTGTAAAAAAGACAGTTTCGGAAACCTGCCTGCTCTCCTAGAACACACTGATGGGGCTTCTGCAATATGCTGCCTCCAAGATTGAGAATGAGGCTCAGAAATAGCATACGCAGTCACGATGTCCCTGATGCCACATGATCTTCCTACGAAAACAGAACCGTAAACGTTACCAACTCGATGAGAACTGCCTCTCTCAAGTTAAAACAAGGCAACGGCAGCTGAAATTAGCGCAGCAGGGGTAGAGGGCTGCTGACGGGTAAAAGTGGGTCAGGACAGCCGGATCTGTGCTTCGCCCCCTCTCCTTCCCGGTGAGAACGATCGGGAGGCAGGGGAGGATCAATATCCCAAAATCCTGGCGGTAAAGCTCCTAGTCTCAAAAATGGGGTTTCGTGACACAAGAGAGGGACAGCTTTGAGCTCCTAGCCTCCAACCTGGGGGTTTAGGGAAACAGAGGGGCCGCTCCGTGTGTGTTCTTTTGTGAACACGCGGCTCAGATTTCACTGAGTAGGGGTGTCAGAGACTAGGGAGCACAGTACTACAGGGGCAGGGAAGAGGGGATGTGGCATCGCAGCCTCTGCCCGGCTGGAGGTCTCGCCCAAACTCCCCCGCCACCCTGGAGACCATCTGCTCCACAGCCGGCCGGCACGCGCCCGCCAAAGAGAGCGCTGGACTCTTTCCTCAGTATAATCCCTCCGCTGAAGGCCGCGTACTCGTTTTAATCATGCCCCACCCCACCCCGCGGCTGCCGGCGTCACCTCCGCCCCCCGAGCGCCTTCCAGCAGCTTCCAGAAATGTCGCCTCCCCAAACCCAGCCACTCATACATGGCGGGCTCCGCAGTCAGCAGCCCCACCCCTAATCGTCTCAGCCCTGAAAGTCGGGATGCAGCAGTTGGGCGGGTGGCCACGCCCCTGCCTGCCGGAAGTGCACCATGCACCTCTTCCCCGCCATGTCTGCGTCATTTCAGGCCCCGTGTGGTGCAGGAAGGGGAACTCTTTAGGCGCGGACTCCAACCGGAAGCTGTTCCTTGAGCGGAGCCGCTGGTGGGGGAGGAGCTGCCGGAGGGAGACGTGGGGTGAACGTTGCGTTCGGTGGTGCGGAGCTCAAGCTGGAACAGGAGTTCGGATCTACCCGATGCGGAGAAGGAGAGAGCTTGGGGCAGGTAAGGGGGGAGGGAGGGAAGCCTTCCTCCGCTATGGAGATGGGGATCCGCGCGGTGATGGCTTGCACGTCCAGAAGGTGGGCTCGATGGGAGGGGCAGGGACGACATCTGGGTGCAGGTGGGAAGGCTGGCTGATGAAGGTGTTTTGGGGTCAGAGAGGTAAACGTTGAAGAGAAACCAGAGTTTATCTCCCTCTTCCAAGGGGCGTGGAGAGGGGAAGGTTAACGGAACCCTGTGCGTTCTTGAGTTTACGAGGTTGGGATTCTACCCTGACCACTTGATCCTGCGGATCTCTGATCCCGGTCCATCAGTTGGTAACAGACTGCGCCTGCTAGAGGCCAGCCTCGCTCCTCCGCTCCCTGTGTTGTGGTTTCGCTTTTGACAGGGTGCTTGAGGCACTGAGTCGGAGCGCAAGCTCCGGTGGGCCCACTCCGAGCTGCTGCTCCCCGGGGCGCCCTCGTTTTGCACCCAGGTCTGGGAATCGTGCACGTTTCACCGTTCCCGGGCCCACATAACGCGTGCGGCGCACAGTAACTGGGTTCCCACTGGGTGCTGGTTCGTATCCGAGCTCGTAGGAACGGGAAGGAGGTGTGCGAAGAAGGGGGAGGGGGAGGAAGATCAGGCTGCGAGACTGAATTGGTGTCTTGGTGCAGTGAGCTTTAGGTCTTCAGGCTGCCCTTAAGGTCATATTGGTCGCTGTAGACTTTCTTAGAATCAGTGTGAAGGCGCTGCGGTGGTGCGATGAGTTAAGCATTAGGCTGCTAACAGAAAGGTAACTTCAAAACCACCAGCTACTCTGCAGAAAAAGACGTGGCTTTCTGCTTCTGTAAAAATTTCCAGCCTTGGAAACCTGGTGGGGCTGTTGTACTCTGACTTTTGATTTGAGGCAGGAGACTCAGGACTTGTTTTATTGGGAGCATCACATTGGTAGCCATGTAGAGTGAGGATGGGATGGAAAGAGGTAAGATTGGGGGCGTTTCCAAAAATTAGTAGGTTTTTATTTCATAAATAGGAAATTGAAAGATAGAAGAACACATTCATTTTCCTTGTCTGTGTTTTTGGAAGGATGGAGATGCCGACCTTGAGCTGAGATCCACGGGAAGGAAAGCAGATTATTTTTTAAGACAAGTGGCAATGAGGACTTTTTTGGGAGGAGGGGTCACAAATTAAGTGATAAACACTGCAGGATTTTATATAGGAAGATCGAAGAGTTCTATTTGAAAGAGAAAGAGTCTACTTTTGATGCTCCTAGGCTTGAGGATTTCAGCTACCAAGCTGCCTGCTCTCCCCATTGAAATGTCAGATGAGATCCAGAGAGCAAATTTGAAGCCTTAGGTTTTGATAAGGGAACTCTAGTTCCCTGGTCTAGTCCTTAGGGAGTTGCACTGCTAGCCAGAGGCCTTTCCTCTCTAACTGTTCTGGGCAGTTTACTCCTGTGCCATTTACGGCTTCTGAAGACCCCCTGGCAGGTAAGCTGCAGTCAGTTCTGAGTCAGCAGCAATGAGATGCCAGGTACTGTGTTAAGCATTTACTGCATTAATCCCCCAAACCAATTGTCATCAAATTGATTCCGACTCTTGGTAATCCTCCATTGGGTTTCTAAAGCTGTCATTCTTTGCAGACTGTCCATCTTTCCTCCAAGGAGTAGCTAGTAAATTCTGACCTTTCAGTTGTTAACAACAACTGACCTTTGCTAACTGACACATGTAGCACAGTATAAGCACAACATGTAATAAGTGCAATGCCACCACTTCATTTAATTTTTTTTTCCACTTCATTTAGTTCTTAGAACATACTGTTTTACAACTAAGAAATTTTGGAGCCAGAATGGTGGGGTCAAAGCTGATGCTTTCAGTTACACTGGAGCCGTGGAAAGCCAGAAGTTTGGCTCTTCCGTTTATAATTGCTTTTGTAGTAGATTAGGAAATCAACCAGACAGATGTGGTAAGGAGCTGGGAAAGAAAAACCTTGCATCAGACTTGTGTGTTGTGTGGCAGTGTCTCTGAGGATCTTGCCTCCAGGGCACATTGGTAAAGTCTGGAAATGCTACAGTTTTACAGGGTGTTACAAGGTTTCACTGTTAACAAGGTGATCAGGGAGAAAGCTACAGGCCTCCACACCCGCTACAAGGCATAGAACAGCCTTGACAACAAAGAATTATCAAGTCCAATATGTTCATATTGCTGCAACTGAGATACTGCACTCTGTTATTATTTCCTCGGCAGTAGGAAATTGAGATTTTCTAGTACTAACTTTTTAAAAAGCATTTTTATTTATTAAAAAAACCACCCCAAAACAAACAAAAAACAACACACCTTGAAGGATACCTGGTGGCATAGTGATTAAGTACATGGCCATTCACCAAAAGGTTGGCAGTTTGAACCCACTCTGAGGGAGAAAGATGGGCAGTCTGCTCCTGTAAAGATTAGAGCAAACACACACACTGCCGTTAAGTCCATTTTGATCATGGTGACCCTCATCTGGCTTCTGAGGCTGTGAATCTTTATGGCAGAATACTGCCTGTTCCTCTTTGAGTAGTTAGTGGTTTCAAACCACTCCGATTCATAATTTGACTTCACTAAATGAGTTTCCCTTCCCCAGGAACACACTCAAACAGCTTGTAGCATGTGTATTTTGCAGTAATTTATATTTTTAGTAAAGATAATAAAAATTACATTTTCTTGACAGATTTGAAAAAGTAACTTTTCTCAACTGGTGAAATGCTTGCTCTGGTGGTTAAAAGCAATAGAAATTTATAGGGCCTGTGGGTCACAGTGATGCAGTGGAGCTAGAGTTTTTACAAGTCCCTTCTCCGTAATGTGTCAGCATATTTATTTTATGTTGTACATAACATAAAACCCACTGCCATCAGCTTGGTCCCAACTCATGATGATCCTCCAGTGAGTTTCAGAAGCTGTGTAGGAGGACACCACCTATTCTTCTCTTGAATTCTGAGAAAGAGGCTGGTGGATTTGAACCACTGACCTTCTGGTTGGGAGCCTAACAATGAACTATGCCTGTAGGGCTCCTTCATATAAAGGACTCTATGAACTTACATTTTCATGTTCATTTCATTTTCATTTCTGTAGCTGTTAAGCCTGTTACTAATTATAGCAACCCTGTAAGAAAGCAGAGTTGTCCCATAGGGTTTCCAAGGCCGTCAGCTTTGTGGGAGCTGACTGCTTCATCTTACCTGCACAGCAGCTGGTGAGCACAAGCAACCAATCTTGCAGTTGGCAGAAGAGCTCTACACAACCAGGGCTCATCTGGTCAAAGTAGTTGACTTTAAATAATAGCTACCTCTTCTAATACAAGTTTTGTTTCATTTGCTTACAAATGAGTCTTAAGATAATTGACTCTACTACTAGTTTCTGCCCTCTCTCCACAGATTTGCTTAAATTTATAAATAATCTAGGTATTTTCATTTCAGAATGTTTTTTCTTAGAATAAATAGCTTTGAAGTAGGCTTTTTATATATGTCTGATGAAATAGTCTAGTTCTTTTTGAAAGCAAGTAGAATTTTTATTTAATTATCTATTGACTTTTTTTTTCCAGGGTTCATTGAAAAAAATCCTTAGTGATATTGACACTGTTTCAAGTGACATATGTTAGCCAATGACTCGGATTGATGGATTCCCCGAAGATTGGAAATGGTTTGCCAGTGATTGGACAAGGGACTGATGATATAGGGGTATCTTCACTCCACATGGTGGGGTATTTGGGAAAAGTTAGTGAACTCATTTTTTGCCTCAGTGCAAAGTTTTGTTTTTTAAAATTTAATTTGGTTTTAATTGCACAAGTTAACTTCTGAAAAATTAGGTCTTCCACGGAAATCTTATAGCAATGGCGAAAGATTATCTTAATATGTTTACCTCTCTGTGTTTTATTAATACATGAATGTAAAAGTTAAACATACACTGTGTGGTTGACTAGCATTTGCAGATACATATGTTTTCCTGGCAATTCATAACACTTAAAACTTAATATTAGAAACTGTAATGCATTCTTTTTTTTTATTAGTAGCTACATGTACAGCCCTCTTTCTATTTCTTTTGTTTACCATGCTCTAAATATCTTGCCAGGGAAATTCTAGTTCTATAAAGAAATACCTTTTTTTTCCCCCGGTTGTATTTCCATTTAACTTTTGTAATTTGAGCACTTTAGAAATGCTTGTATTTTAATATGCTTTGTTTCCTTTGTAGAACTATGATTCAGTTAATGGTGTATCAGGTGAATACTGCCCAGCTTGTAAAGAGAAGGGAAAACAAAATGCATTAAGAACTTTTCGAATTAGTTTTGAAGAATCAATCCTTTTGTGTGAGGATCTACAGGTAAAATGTGAATCTTATATAATGTATAGTTTTAGCATGTTGCCTTTTCTTCAAAACAATTCTGTGCTCATTTTAATAATAATAGATTGTTGATACTGGAGAGAGAATCTGACTAAATCTGTCTGACAAACAATTTAAAAGAGTTTCTGTAATGTTTTCCAGTTGCTAAGTTGTTGCCTGAGTTTACTGATCAGTGAGGGGAGAAATACATTTGGAGATTTATTTGATTTAAAGGGGAAAACCTCTCAACTTTGTGGAAGTCCTTTTTCTCTATGAACATTTATATATAAATATATATGCATTATTTTATATTGATTTGCATACAAAATTCATGTAAGTTTTGTGTCATTCATATACATTGTGTTTCACACATCCCTTCATTCACATTTTGTTTCATACAGTCATTCCTATACATTTTTTTGTTAGGCTTTTTTTATTATTATTTAATGAACGTTTACGGAGACTTTGGATTTCCATTCATTCATTGTTGCACTTTTCCCCCTGTCGACCCCTTCCCCCAGTTCACTCTTTGAAAAGTAAAAGAAAAATTCTTTTTTTTTGTTTGTTTGTTTTAATGTGTGTACCGTCAAATCGGATCTGACTGGTACAGGAGGCGATTATTCCTCCCTCTTCAGCAGAGCATCTGGTGGATTTGAACCGTGTACCTCTGGGATTGCAGTGCAGCTTCTTGCCACTAGGTCACCAGAGCTAGCCAAAAAGTAAAAGAAAAATTCTTTGATTGTTATACAGTTCCCCCCTCCAAGTCCACTCCACTATGCAGCCCATTCCTATACATTGCATAAAATCAGGCATCATTGATCTATGCCTTCTGTCACCCTATCTTTTCAAGTCCCCACTGAATCTTGTCTAATGAATGTCCTTGTTCCTATGACCATTAAAAAGGAAAAAAAAAAGGTTAACTAGAAAGATGAGGCAGTTTCCTCCTATGAAGATATTTCTTTATTAACCATAGACCAATTGGACGTGTTCTTAATTTTTAATGTACCTGAAAGAGTATTTTACAGATTGGTTTGTCCAGCTGTTTGTTGTTGTTATGTGCCGTCGAGTCGCTTGCGACTCATAGCGACCCTATGTACAACAGCCCTAAACCTTGCTCTATCTTGTGTCAATCGCACTGCCTCTGACACACCCATCCCGATTACCCCAGTCACTGAATCAATCCACCTCATAGAGGGTTTTCCCCTCCTGCGCTGTCCCTCTACCCTACCAAGCATGATGTCCTTCTCCAAGGACCTGTCTCTCCTTACAACATGTCCAAAGTATGTCAGACGAAGCCCCAGAATCCTTGCCTCCAAGGAGTAGCCTGGTTTAACCCTTTCTATGATGAATCTGTTTGTTTTCTTGGCAGTCCATGGTACATTCAATACTCTTCTCCAGCACCACAGCTCAAAGGCTTCAATTCTTCTTCTATCCTCCCTAGTCGTTGTCCACCTCTCTGATGCATGACAAGTGATTGCAAAAACCATGGCCTGTATCAGGCAGACCTTAGTCTCCAGCAGAAAAAAATAATATAGCTCTGAACTAAATACTATGGTTTTAGGGCTTGATTTCTGTGTTTATTTTTTCCTTTAAATACCTTTTAGACTTAGTTGTAGTAGTATGGGCCCACGGTACACCTTTTATCTAGAAACTTATTAAATTCTGTAGTCTGTATTTTATAATACCTCACAATTTCTGGAACTGTGTTATGTAAGTATAATTGTCCAAACTTTGCAAAGTAGATACTGTCAGTTTATGAATGGGAAAACAAATTGAGATGGCTTAGGAACACCAAATCATCCTCAGAAGGCAGAGCTGGCATTAGAATGCAGCATTCTCTCTTAAAAACTCACTGCCATCCAGTAAATTCTAGCTCGCACTGACAGTAGCGACATTCTAGGATAGAACTGTTGTCTTTACAGAAACGTCCTTGTCTTTCTACAAAAGTGATTTGAACTGTTACATCCTGGGTTAGCAGCTGAGTACTTAACCATTCTGCCACCATGTTGTTTGCGGCTTTTCATTTTAAAGCTCTTTGCCATTGAGTCAGAACTGATCCATAACTCACCCACCCATTGTGTTTCCAAGGCTGTAAATTGTACAGGAAGAGATTATCCATCTTTCTCCCAGGGAATGGGCTGGTGGATTCGAACCACCAACTCACCTTTGTCACAAAATGAGCTCTCATTCTTTTTGTTGCTCTGTGTTGTCATGTGGGACCCAACTCATAGCTGGACCCTTTGGCAGGTTTTTCAGAGGTTGTAAGTCACACGCAGGAGGAGATTGCCAATTTTTCTCCTGTGGAAGTGTTGCTGGATTTGAACTGCCTGCCTTTGGGTTGGCAGTGCATCTCCTTACCATTGGGCCAGCAGGGTTTTAGTTCTGTTTTATTCCTAGGTTATACTACTAGATTCTGATTCAGTAGAGTTTGGCCCAGAATTCTGTAGTTTTAGAAGCTTTTGAGGGTAAATCTGATGATCAGCCAAGTTTGGAAAATACTAGATTAAGCTACACTGTTGGTAGTAAATAATTTTGCTGGGTATGACTTGAAGGAAAACAATCCTGGGCATTCTGACAAACAGAAACACATTTCTTTATGCCTTTAGTCAATAAATCTGGTTTTGAGCATCATTGCGTTAGGCACTGTTCCAGATGCTAAGATAGAATGGTGAACAGAACACAAACATCTCTTGCCCTAAGGAGGTTCTATTTTCAAATATTAAAACAAGGCAGTAAACAAAGAAAATATATTTTGTGTGTGTGTCACATGACTGGGGAGAGAAGAAAGCTATGGGGACCGGAGTGCCAGGGAAAAGGGAGTTTACTATTGTAGGCAGAGTGGCAGCAGACCCTGTCATTGAGAAATGAAGGTAAACAAGTCCAGTGGGTGTGTGAGGGAGGACTTTCTGCACTCCAGGGAGCCATAGGAACAAAGGCCCTGAGCGTGGTAGTCATGTTAGTGCAAAGGAACAGCCTTGCTGGACATGAGTGTCTAGAGCAGAGGGATGGAAGGTGTTTCTGTAAAATAACAAGGGGCCAGCTAAGTCTTAGGGTCTTGCCGGCTGCTATAGGCTCTGGTTTTTACTGTGGATGAGATGAGGAACCATAATAGGGATGTGTTGTTACTCTGACTGCTGTGTTGAAAATACATGGATGGGCAAGCTATGACACAGGGAACTATTGAGACAGCAGTGCAGTACCCTAGTGGGGGAAACAGTGTTGGGTTTTGTATATGCTTGGAAAACAGCCAGCTGCGTCTGCTGATGATTAGGATACATGTAGTGGGACAGAGAGGGAAGAATCACAGATGATACCAAGATTTTTGGCCTGGGCAATGGAAAAAGTGAAGTTACTAGTAATTGAGAGGGGAAAGATGTCAGGGAGGATTTGAGGGAAACATCAGGAGCTGAGTACCAGTCAAAACCTGCAGGTGAAAAATGGAGTAAACAGTTGGCTCAGTGTTTTAGGCTTTAGGTATAGTTGAAGGTTGGAGATAAGACTTGGGGATTTGACAGCATTAGGTAATCAGTGAGACTGGGCGGTTTTGACCTGGGAAGATGGCTAAAGAGGTCCCAGGGACAGAGCCCTGGAGCGTGCCCAACATTTGGAGGTTAGGGAGATGGAGTGGAACCATCTAACTCGTCAAGAAAAAGTGGACAATAATGTAGGAACAAAACCAGGCAGGAGGCTCACTGTCCTAAAAAGCAAGGAAGGTTAGGGCACCACCGAAGGTTATTGGAGACTTTAATGTTTTAACAAAGCAGTTCTGATAACCTGTTTGAAGTAGGTTTGCTAGAAAATGGAAGAACAAAATACAGTCTTTTTGAGAACAGTGGTAGATGTGACATGGTGTTCTAGTGGTTTGGGTGTTAAGTACTGTTGCTTTTGCTAGTGACCTGTATGGCAGAGTAGAACTTCCAAGGTCATTATCTCCACAGAAGATCCTTTGTAAAGGACATTGGTTGTCCCAGGGGTCAGCAGACTATGTATCCGTGGTCTAAGAATGATTTTTATACTTTTAAATGACTGAGGAGAATAGAACTCAAATGATAATTTCCCCTACCTTTTGATAACTGTAATTCAAATTCACTGTGCACAAATAAAGTTTTATTAGAACATTGCCAGACTTAATTATTTATATGTTGCCTCTGGCTGTGTTTGCACTGCCATGAAGTTGAGTGGGTTGTAACAGAGTTTATGGCTCATAAAGCAGAGAATATTTATTTTTCTGGTCCTTTACAAGAAGACATTTACTGATCCTTGGTATCCAGGGCCTCTGAGCCAGTTTATTCATTTCTAAAGAGGTTTACTGTAAAATCTGAGGTCCACTTGAAAGTACTGCTTTCAAATGTCATTTGGGAAATCCATTTTATGTATATTTAGATATGTTTCTCGAGTTGGATAAAAAAGCTAAGGCAGTAAACGCTGCTTCCAAATTAGGACCAAATAGAAACTATTATATAGTGTCTCAGTCAGCTGCTAATTGAAAGAGTGATGATTTGACTCCACCAGCCATTCTGAGGTAAAAAGATGAAGCAGACTGCTCCGCTACATGCTTACAGCCCTGAGAATCGATGGAGAAGCTCTACGCTACATGAAAGCTGTGAGTGGAGTGGACTTGGCAGTGAGCTTTAAGGATTTTGAACAGGTTGCTAATGTAAAGGCTAGCTCTCTGGTGATCCAAATTCACCAGTGGCTCTGAGGGAGAAAGATGGGCGATCTTCTTATGCAATTTACAGCTTTGGAAAACCAGTAGAAGAACAATGAGTAGTTAGTTCTGGCTCAGTAGCAATGAGATGAGATGAATTGAGGGGTCTGTTATTTTTTTAAGCTTTCCATTATTTAGTCTAGACCCTCAGCAAGATGCATTGACACAATAACTAGCAGCAGGCTTGAGCCTTGCAGAGATTATGAGAATGCCATAAGATGGGACAGGGTTCCAGTCTGTTCTTCATAGGGTAGTTGCAAGTCGTAGTCAACTCGATGGCACCTAATACAACAACATTTTACAGTCTTTTTTTCTAATTTATGTTGTGGTTTTGTTAGGGTTTTTGTTGTTGTTTTTAAGTATATTGTGGTTTGGGCGAAAGTTTACATAGCAAATTCATTTTCTATTTAACAATTTGTATATCTTCTCTGTTTTGTAATAGTAATCGTAGTTCTTTCAATATCGCAGCACTGTTCTTCCTGCATTTCTGGGGTTCTTGCTTACATGTACCCTGAGATCTATTTTTGGACAAATCTCAATTTTTAAATGAAATTTATAATAATGAGATTTTTTTTAGTACCTTTGTAATTTGTCTGTCGCCATACCTTATTTTAAAATATAAGATGACGTAACGTATTTTCCCTCTTTGTATTTTACAGTGATAAAACTTAGGAATTATTGATTTTAAGCTGTTACAAAAAAGCAGTGGGAGAGAATTAGATTTTCTTTTCATCATTTGATTTTAAAGGATATAAAATGATTGTGTTGGACTAAAAATGAGTGATCACTGTATCTTTATAATGACTTTTCAGTCTGCAGTAGTTTTTGGTTTTAAAGGATTTTCGTTTTTCTGACAAGGTTTAAGAAAAAAAACATCAAGGTGTAAAGTTGAGCATCAAATGGTTTGTTGATGGGAACTATAAAGTTTGTTGGAATAGAAGAACCCAAAACTTGTCTTTCTGTATTACGCTGATGAAGTGATCAGTAGAAAAAATTCCCAACAGGTGTGGCCTTATCAACATGAAAACCCACTGCCATCAAGATGTGGCTCATAGCGGCCATAGAGGGCAGGGTGGACTTGCCCCTGGAGTTTCCTTGGCTGTTAATCTTCATGGAAACAGATTGCTCTATACCTTCTGAGGAGCATCTGGTGTATTTGAACCCATTACCTTTTGGTTAACAAAACACTTAGCGCCCTGCACCACCAGGGCCCTTGGTTATTGTTTTTTCTGGTATTAGAAGAAGCTGCTATTATTTCTTAACGTGAGGGCATTTAGTCTGCTTCTCCCATCTCTTGCTGGGATACAAACTAAAACTTTAAAGACTTTCTGGCTTTCTTGATAGTTTCTCATGATCCACACCCTGACCAGAGGCAGCTTTAGAATTGCTGCTATCTGGGACACCTGGAATGTTGGGTTGACTGGTAATTGGTGTGAAGTGTTCCCTCTGAGTCTCACTTGGTTCCTACTCTTGAGAGTCTCTTAGTGCCATGGTCAGCACCGAGTGCACGTGTGCAGGGAGAGGCATCCAAGCAGAGGGGCCCAGAGAACAGATGCTAGCAGGACATTGTTCTTTTCTGCTCACATCCCCTTCAACAGCTGGCCACGTGGCCAAGCCCAGAGTCTGCTGCAAGGGTCAAGGGTGTGAGCAAGAGTATTGTGCCTCTGTCGCATCTCCCATGCTTATGTGGAAGGTGTGTGATTTGCCAGTGTAACACACAAACTATGCACAGTATTACCAGAGCTCCTTCAGATGATGTTTGAGAAGAGTACATTCTTAGTATCCGTTTGTTGAATTTACCTCTCTGAATAATTGTCAGTTTTTAAACTTAGGAAGAACTGATTATTTTAGTATTTGGTTTACAGTTCTGATTAAAAACCCATTGCCGTCCAGTCAGAACAGATTGCAGCTGATCTGCCACCAGGTTTTCAGAGGCTGTAAATCACGTGGGAGGCGCTGACCCATCTTTGTCCAGAGGAACAGCTCATGGGTTCAAGCTACAAGAGAGTGCAGCCCTTGGGTTAGCAGCAGAACTTTCCAGACTGTGCCAGAGCTGGTGGCCTGATGGGTAAGGCGTTGTGCTGCCAACCCAAGACAGATAGTTTGGATCCACCAGGTGCTCCTTGGGAAAAAGGTAGGCAGTCTCCTCCCATGTGATTGGCAACCTCTTCAAACTTGCTGGAAGACCAGCAATGAATTGGTACTGATTCAACCGAGTGAGAGCCCCAGCCATGTGATGAAAGTCAAAGTAGTTCTGATAGGTGGTTGAAATTGTGTTGATCATTGTGAGACTTGTTGAGGCCATAAAAATGAAAGGTACTATTTCTCTCAAATTACTATTTAGTTTAAAAATAATAGGAAATAAATTACTCCAGGGAGTTATAAAAAAAAAATTGGAAATACTTCTTTCCTAGTTTTTAGTGTTACATGCAGCTCATCTCCAAGGAACCCCAGCAGCACATTGGGATAAGTGTTGGGCTGCTGATTTTGAAAGATCAGCAGTCCAGACCACTGGCCACTTCACAGGAATATGATGACAGCCTTGAAAATTAGGGGGCAGTTCTGCTCTGTCCTCAAGGGTCACTGTTACCTGAATTGACTCATGACTTGACGGCAGTGATATGTTCGGTCGTTTCTCCAGAAGTATCATGTTCTCTTCACTGAGTTTTTAAAAATTATGGAAATTTTAAAATTTGCATGAAATTATTTTTTCCCTCCCAAATTAAAGCAAAAATAGTGTCCCTGCACAGCCTAGAATGCTTAATTTAACCCTTGTTCAAATTAACTAGGGCCATTCATTCTGTTAAGAGTCAAGTTTTGAATGAATTTCAACTTGTTATAATTTTTTTTTTTTTAATTTTACTTTATTATTTGTTGTGTGTGTACCATCAAATCGGATCTGACTGGTACAGGAGGAGATTGTCCCTCCTTCTCCAGCAAAGCATCTGGTGGATTTGAACTGCATACCTCTGGGATTGCAGTGCAGCTTCTTGCCACTAGGCCACCAGAGCTCCAACTTGTTAATCTTTAGTTGTTTAAAATTTAGATTCACTAGTTACTAATACCGCCACATGTTTAAATCAATGCCAGCATTTTCTGCCTGGATTTCATGTCATAGGATTGGGACTTATTTGAATTTTTGTCATTTTCTTTTTTCTTTCTAGTGCATCTACCCTTTGGTCTCCAAATCACTTAATAACTTACTTTCTCCTGATTTGGGAAATTGCCACATTCCAGATAAGCCTCGTCAAAAAAGAAAAAAGTCGGCAACCAGTTGCAAAGAGTCACCTCTTTTAACAAATTCCAAAAAGCCTAAAACTGACGCTGTTGTGGATGGTGAACAAACACTGAGCAACAAACACAATGGAGAAACGCATGATGAAGCCTCCTTTCACTTACCTGCCTTGCCTCCACATGGTCAGCAGAGCCCCCTTGGGACAGCTGGTTCCTTGGCACAGACGGAGACTTTGGAGGCTGATGGGGTTGGCCTTGCTGATAAACACGATCCTTCTGCAATGGACGTTACAGGAACCAGGGAACCTTCCCCTCAGCATGAAGGCTTTCTCCCTAAACTGGAAATACCACCAGAGAACAATAGCAAGTCAATGGGCCAGGCCTTTTGTGTCCAGTGGAAAAATGCTTATTCTCTGTGTTGGCTAGACTGCATCCTGTCAGCATTGGTGCACTTGAAAGCTTTAAAAATGGCTGTGACTGAACTGGGCTCTGGAGAAGACTCTATCTTCAGGAGGCTTTTGACTAAGTATGAGAGAGCTAATGAGCTGCTGTGCACCCATCAGCCAGGTGGCCTTCAAGGTTAGTGCTAAGATTTTAGTTCTTTCTAACTTTTCCCCTACTACCAGATTGTTTTGATTGATGTTGTTATGTGCCCTCAAGTCGCCTGCGAGTCGAAGCATCCTGAGCAAGTCTCAGTGACACACCTACCCCCTTTACCTCAGTTACTCTGATAGCAAGACCCTGGGTGAGGTGAATTGACACAGTAACCATTTTGATTACTACTGCTTGATTTATTTAGTAGTATTTTGTTGTGTTTTCACATAGCAACTTGGGTTTCTATTCAGTAGTCTTCACAGATTGAGCCATAACTTTGGATACACTCTTTCTTCACAATGAGTAAACAGTCTCATAGTAGTTCTTGTTTCTTTTAATTTGGTTTCCCTGCCCTTTCATACTCTCATCTTTTTTAAAATCATTGTTGACTTTTTGATTCCATAGAGATGGTGTTCTGAAGGAGGCCAGGGCTCATGGGTAATGCTCATTATTTTGTAAGCCTTTAGCTACAAGATGACTTCAGGGGCTGATTTAGGTTCATAATTTAAAGACTGTCATAGGGCCATAGTCTTGAGTGGCCCTTGAACTCAACCAAATTAGTAGTGCTAGTTTTGTTTAGTTTTTGAAGTTAATTTTGAGTGTTTTTTCACCACATGTGGGAAAAAAAAGCCATCACTATCTTCTGTGTAGGGACCTGAGAGCAGGGAGCCCAGGGCCAGATGTTGTGAGGTTAGAGATGAAGGTAGTTACATTCCCATAACAACCCAAATGGCAGCCTTGTCCCTGCAGAGCTTTGCTGCTACTCCAGAGGCAAAGCCTCTCCAAGGGGTTTAAGTCCACCAGAGGCTTCATGGGAGAAAGATGGACAACATTCTTGGAAACCTTCTGGAGGGTCCACTATGAGTCAGTTCTAGCTGGATGACAGGAAGAACAGACAGGAGAAAGAGACTGGTTCTTTCTTAGACAGGCATGTGGTATTTACTATGTAGAATACAGTATAGTTTTGAAGCAACTGAAAAGCGGTGTAAAGGAACTAAATCGGAATCATTAATAATTGCACAGCCCAAAAGGAAAATCTCCTTGAATATTAGGAGTGTATTTTTTTTCCTTTTACTTTCTGTAAAATAGGATACTCATGAACCCACTTTTCATGTGGAGATGAATGAGAACATTCCCACATTCCCATGTTATATTATTCTGAAATATGTCTTAACATTCCGTAATAATTGTAAGCTTACAGGAATGGTGTCATCCTGTATTTCTTCTCGGACTTTTTTTTTTAAATTTTATGTATGCAATTACTTGTATTTGTGGGGGTTTTTTTGGGTTTTTTTTTTTTTGGTTGTTGGTTTTTGTTTTTTTAGAGCACAAAAACATTTTCTATTTCAGTGTTTTCTCACATACTCAGTGACATTGGTAAGTCACCGTTCAGCATTGCCACTGTGTCCAGATCTGTCATCCTAACTAGAGACTGTTTTCTCCAAACAGTGATGAGCATCATTTGTTTTCATTGCTTTGTATTTCCATTTTGTAACTACTTCGTCATTTTATTGCTTCATCCACCTGTAAAGGGCAGGTCAGCTGTTTTTGCCATTACAAATTTAGGCATACCTTATTTTCTTGCAGTTCACTTTTAGCGTGCTTCACAGATACTGCGTTTTTTGAAGGTTTATGGCAGCACTGTCAGACAAGTCTATTACTTCCGTTTTTTCAACAGCATGTGCTCACTTTATGTCACATTTTGGGAATTCTTGCAGTATTTCACGTGTTTTCTTAGTGTTGTTGTATGCTTAATAGACTATACCCACGGTTACTGTCGTAGAGTCAGTTTTGACTCGGTGACACTTCCTTAGGCTTCTGAGGCTATAAATCTTTTGAAGAATCTGCCCAGCTTTCTCCCATGGAACACCTGGTGGATTTGATCCACTTACACTTAGCATACTACATAACATCAGAGCTCCTTTTATAGACACAGTATAGTGGAAATGCAGTTGCTATGCACTGGAGAACCAGAAGAACTTACGGGACTTGATTTATACTTGCTGTACTTGATGATCTGAGGCTGAACCACCATATCTCTAAGGTATACCAGTAGTCATGCTGGGAATACTTCGGGACAGGTCTCTTGGGACACAAGTGGAAGCACATCTTTTGGATGTACGCTGAGTATGGAATGTCAGGTCCTAGGAAGGCCCGGTTTCCAGGAGAAAGACCAGTTGTTTTCTTCAGTGGTTGTACTGAGAGTTCTGCCTCAGCAGTAGCAGACAGCTTCCTGCTCCGTGGACATGTACATGGTCATTTGGAGATTTAGAGGTGTTTGCTATTTGTGTGGGTGAAACGGGCTGTGGTCTAGATTTGCCTTTTCCAGATTATGAAGAAACTTACTGGCTCTTCTATGTGTCTTAGACCACACAGCCCCCCTTCTCTGAAATGTCAATGTGATTTAGCCCTGTTTACGCTGTTGTTATGTACTTATTGATGGGGATGAGTTTTTGTACATCTTAGTTGCTATTTTTATAAATCTTCGAATTTGTTCCTTATGTTTTAGTAGCTTTCCATTTGTACCTAGTGGCACAAACAGTTAAGTCTTGAACTACTAGTTTAAAGATTGCTAGTTCATGGCCACGTAGAGGTTCGAAGACAGTTCTGGCACCTGCTATTAAAGGTCACATCCAACCTTGAAAATCCCACGGAGCAGCAGTTCTGGTCTGTATGTGGATTGCCATGTGTTGGCCTTCACTAGATTGTTAATAGCAATGATGGTTGTAGCTTTTCCAAGAGATTCTTCTATTCCATGGGTCAGAATGTCATTCTCCTGTGCTTTCACTAAAAAGTCATTAAGTTTTACTTTTGACGTAGAGTTAATTTTTATATATGGTATGAGGTAAAGATGGAGGTTTCTCTTTTAGTATAGGCAGTTTTCCAAGTTCTGACATTTGACTAGTCCTTCATTTTCAACTTACCTTCCATGTCACCTTTTTCATACACTAATCTTCCATATATGTGTGCTGCTGTTCCAGCACTGGTGGCGTAATGATTAAACATTAGACAACTAACCAAAAGGTTGGCAGTTCACACCCACTAGCTGCTCCCTGAGAACAGTAATAGCAGTCTGCTTTCATAAAGATTACAGTCTTGGAAATCTTGGGACAGTTTTACTCTGTTTTATAGAATTTCTTTGAATATACATTGACTTAATGGCAGTGAGCTTGATTCTTTAACTTATCGCTCACTTTATTTCTGCACTGGTACTGTACTATTTTACAGATTTAAAAATCTTGCAAAGAGAACAAGAATCCTTACCTTTATTTGACTTCTTTTGTAGTCTCTTGGTACTTGAACAGTACATTGACAGAATTACCAGAAATTCAAGCTGGGTTTAGAAGAGGTCGTGGCACTAGGGATATTATTGCCAGTGTCAGGTGGATCTTGACAGAGAGCAGAGAGTACCAGAAGAATGTCTTATCTGTGTTTCATTGGCTATGCAAAGGCATTTGACGTGTGGATCACAACAATTTTGGCTATCCTTGAGGGAAATGGGAATCTTAGAACACTTGATCTTGCTTATACGAAACCTATTCTTGGACAAAGAAGCAGTCCTCAGAACAAAGTAAGGAAACACTGCATGGTTCAAAATCAGGAAAGGAGTGGGTCAGGGATGCCTCCTGTCCCTGCACTTTTACAATCTGTATGGAAAACATCATCATTTGGGAGGTAGGGCTTTATGAGGAGGAGTGGGGCATCAAGACTGGAGGAAGATTCATTAACAGCCTACAATATGCAGATGACACAACCTTGCTTAGCGAAACTGAAGAAGACCTGAAGCATTTGCAGCAAAAGGTCAAGGACTGTAGTCTTCAATATGGATTGAAGCTCAACATCAAGAAGACAAAGATTCTCACCACTGGGCTAATTGGCAGCATCATATTAGATGGAGAAGAGATTGAGGTTGTTAGCAGTTACAGCTTGCTTGGATCCACGGTCAACACTCTTAAACACCAGCAGTCAGGAAATCAGAAGACTTAATTGCTTTGGGAGAATTTGCTGTCATGGACCTCTCCAGAATGCTGAAGAGCAGTGATGTTAGTCTAGAGACAAAGGTGTGCCTAATCCAGGCCATGGTCTTCTCAGTTAGGCTTCAGAGAGTAGGACAATAACTACGGATGATAGATGAAGAATTAATGCCTTTGAGTTGTGGCACTGAAGAAGAATCTTGAACATACTATGGATTGCCAAGAAAACAAATAGGTCTGTTTTGGAGAGGGTGAAACCAAGTCTCTCTTTGGAGGCTAGGATTTTGAAGCTCCGCCGCATTTACCTTGGTCACATGGCCAGGAGAAATCAGTCCTTAGAGAAGGACCTCATGCTTGGAAGGGTGGACAGACGGCACAGGAGAGGAAGACCCCAGATGAGATGGATTGATACAGTGTCTGGGGCGGTGGGGGTTGGTGTGTCAGAATTAGTGAGACCAGCTCAGGACAGCGGAGAGTTCAGAGCTTCATAGAGGGTCATTATGCATCACAGGTAACTCAAGGGCACATAACAACAGTAGCATACTATGACAGGTTTGGAATCAGGAGTGGCATCCACTTACTAAACAACATTCCTCCAGAAACTATGACTTTTGATAAATGTCGTTAATTTTAAAGGGGCTTCAGGCCGTTTGTTCATAGGGTCGCTTTGAGTCATGCTCGACTCAAAGGCAGTCAACGACAACATTTTTGCCAGGCAGGACATAATGCACTAACTCCCTTTACATTATAGATATCTTTGTCTTCATTCAACTCAAAACTTACAGCTGACTGCCAGTGGGTTTTCAGAGGCTGTAAGTTGCATAGAAGTGTTTGGCCATCTTTTGCCCTCAGAGCAACATTTGAACCACCAGAGAGACACCACCTTTGGTATAAATTTTTTTTTTTTCATTAAAGAAGACACCTCATGGTTGTGCCATTTTTTTTGGTGTGAATCCTGTGCATTATTTCTCCATTGTTGACTGTGAGTGACTCACTGTGTTTTATTATTATGATGCCTTTTCAATCAGTTGCTGGAAGTTACAGTAAAATATGGACATTAAGAATCTTTATGGCTTTTTAGCAAGGTGTTATGATTCCATATTCATTATCTAGAAGAAAGCATCTTAGAGTACTGTAATTACCTTTGAGTGTAAACATTTTAAAAGTAGTGGTTTGCTAGATGAGAAATGTTTCAACTTGAATTTCTGTAAGACGGAATTTTTCCCCCCATGTACCAGTCATTCCTAGTTTTTTGAAACTTTTCAATTCAGAGGCGTTTTTACTTTGCACTTTTCTTCTCTCTAATCCTGGCTTCTGGGGCAGTTCTACTCCATCCTCGAGGCTTGATGTGAGTGGAAATTGACCTGGTGGCAGTTAATCTTGTCTTCTGTAATCCTAAGAAAGCACAGTGCTATGTAGGTGACAAAAGACCATAATTCCTAATTAAATTGTAGGTTGAATGTTAGAATTAAATGTCCTGTTTTTCTTTTATCCTAACTTTGATGTTTTTGGGTGCTGTGCTATCGCTATAAAATTGACTCGTGGTGACAGAGTACAGCTCCCCATGGGGTTTCCTTGGGTCATTTACCAGCAAATTACTGCTGTTTTTCCTGAACCAATTCACCACCAGGGCTCCTTATGGTACAGATAAAATGCAGTTTTATTTGTTCATTCTCCTATTGATGAGGATATGGATGGTTCTTAGTTTTACTGTTACTATGAATAAGGCTGATAAATGTTGTTGTTGTTGTTGTTATGTGCCGTCGAGTCGCCTGCGACTCATAGTGACCCTATGTACAACAGCCCTAAACTCCGCTCTGTCCTGTGCCAATCGCACTGTCTCCGACACTCCCATCCCAATTATCCCAATCACTGAATCAATCCACCTCATAGAGGGCCTTCCTCTCCTGCGCCGTCCCTCCACCCTCCCAAGCATGATGTCCCTCTCCAAGGACCGGTCTCTCCTCACAGCATGTCCAAAGTATGTTAGACGGAGCCTCAGAATCCTTGCCTCCAAGGAGCCACCCGGTTTAACCCTTTCCAGGACAAATCTGTTTGTTTTCCTAGCAGTCCATGGTATTCTCAGTACTCTTCTCCAGCACCACAGCTCAAAGGCATCAATTCTCTTTCTATCCTTGGTCATTGTCCAACTCTCTGATGCATAACAGGTGATTGAGAAGACCATGGCCTGTATCAGACGCACCTTAGTCTCCAAAGAGACACCATTGCTCTTCAGTACTTTGGAGAGGTCCCTAACAAAAGACTTTCCCATGGCAATGCGCCTTTTAATTTCCTGGCTGCTGGTGCCAAGACTGTTGACTATGGAGCCAAGCAAACTAAAGCTGTATACAATCTCAATTTCTTTGCCATCCATCCTGATGCTGCCAATTGGTCCAGTGGTGAGAATCTTTGTCTTCTTGACATTGAGCCTCAATCCATATTGCAGGCGTAGGCTGCAGTCCTTGACACTCTGCAGCAGGCGCTTCAGGTCCTCTTCAGTTTCAGCAAGCAGGGTTGTGTCATCCGCATAACGCAGGCTGTTGATAAATCGTCCACCAATCTTGACCCCCACATTTCTCCTCATAGAGCCCAGCCTCCCGGATAATCTGTTCTGCATATAGGTTGAAAAGGTATGGAGATAAGATGCATCCCTGGCGTACGCCCTTCCCAATTTTGAAGCATGCAGTGTTCCCTTGCTCTGTTCTGATGACTGCCTCCTGGTCCAAGTGTAAGTTTCGCATTAGAATGATCAATATAGTCTTATATAATTTTGGAGGAGTAGATCTGGTGAACTCTGAATTCTTGACTAATGTCTTAGTTTAGCGGTGGAAAAGCACAGATGGATAAGAAGTTAGTATAATATTCTGTATCGTATTTTCAGATGGAGATGGTAAAAAACTTCCTTTAGAAGTGTCTGTAAGGATAGATGCTTGTCTGAATGAAGTCAGAGATGAAATTTTTACCAGACTTCAACCCCAGCTTCGCTGCACATTAGGTAAGTAAATTTTGTGTTTCCCCTACTGTAAATAAACAGCTGTACCATAAGGAAATGTAGAATAGTGTGTAATGACTTTGAAGGAGCTGATATGGGGATAAGAGTCTCGGCAGTGGGGCTTAAGACTCTACCACTGGTTAAGTCCTCAGTGGGCAGGGCTGTTCTATATAAACCTACTGGCTGGTGTTATTCCCCTTCAGAGGGGATCTGGATTAGGATCAGGTGGACACTTGGGACATTAACAATGGTTAGCTTTTTGATACTTTCTCTAGTAGATTAGCCCCTTAGTTCAGCCTTGACTGTCCATGGGAAAAGTGACCAGGGGATGTAAAAGTAAACAGCAGTGCTGTGAACCCCTTCCAAGTCTGTTATATCAGACCCTTGCGGGTAGAGCTCAGGGGTCAGTCATTTCTAGATGCTTCCTTGTGTTTTTCACATATGGACAGGGTGGAAAAACTGCTTTACACCAACAAGACCAGTCCCGTGATTGGTTGGAAATGGACTTCCACAGTTTTGGCCAATGAGACATGAGGAGAAATATACCCGTGACCTTCTAGTAAAGTTTTCTCGTCTTTGAAAAGGATTCTGTCCTCTCTGAATTGGCTTTTAACATCTAGGAGCAGAGAGCAGAGGAGCCTTGGATCTTCTGGGTTTTCCCAATTCTTAAAAATATTACTCAAAGGAGCCCCTTGCTTAGTTGAGCCAGTGGGTAGATTTTGTCTTTAATTTTCCTTGTATTAACTCTTTATTTAATGCTGTATTCTAAGGGTAGTTGATTGTGAATCATAGCAACCCCATGTGACAGAGTTGAGCAGGATTTCCAAGGTTTTCCTTTCTACAGGAGCAGATTACATGTCTTTCTTCTGAAGAACCACTGAGTGGATTTAGACTGCCCACCTTTGGGTTAGCAGCCAAACATTTAGCAGCTGTACCATCAGGGCTGCTCCTCATTGTGTGACACTTCATAAGTTAATAAAATGTCATTGTTTTCAAGTTCTCCTCTCAGAGAACGACATCTCTTACCAGGTCCAGATCTTGTATTGTAAGGTGGTGTATTTTTCACCCAGAGCTAGTTCTTCATCTTCTTCCCATGAATCTTAGTGTTTCCAGTTTGTATCTTAAGGACTCATCTACATACAACTTTACTCTGTTTCTAAAATACTAAAGTGATTTTTCACATGCCACTCGCTCCTTTAGGGTTAGACACTTAAAACCCATTGCTGTCCAATCAGTCCTGACACACCAGCCCCATAACAGTAGAACTGCTTCATAGGATTTCCTTGGCTATGTCTAATGTCCATGGGAGCAGACAGCCTCTTTCTCCTAGGAGTCTTCTGGGTTCTGTCCATCGTCTTTTGGCTGGTGGGTGCTTAGTCTGCTACACTACCAGGGCTCCTTCCAGATCTAGAAGACTGTCAGGTGGGATGTTCCCTTCAAACAATTTATGTCATAAAACGGACCCTAAAAAACACACCACCACCCCACCACAAAACCCTAGAAAGGTTTAGCTCTGTGAATTTTGGCAGACATGAAGAGTTTGTGTATCCACTATCACAAAATATGGAACACCCTACATTTTTCCTGGAGTCTGGCTGTCACCCTTTCCTGTGCTCCTAGCCCCTGGCTGGTTCATGTGAAAGGAGCCTTCCCTGTAAGATCCCTGGAGCAGAGACCTAGAGACTTCTGTGCTGTGTTGCTGGTGACTGACTGAGTGACTGAGTTGCTTTATTTGGGGTTCCTGTTAGGATTCCCAGGTGAGCTATAGAGTAATGATTTTTCCTTCTTAATCACCACCTTGCACAGTGTGATGATTTTAGTTGGGACAGTGTTGTATTTTGCTTCATCTCCAGGTAAAACTTTTGTCTTCTATGGAAAAGAAACCAAAAGCCCAATCTACTGTCTTGAAGTTGATTCTGACTCACAGTGACTCACAGAGACAGAGAACTAACTGCCCATAGGGTTTCCAAGGCTGTAAGTCATTAAGCTGACTGCAGCATTATTTCTCCTCACAGTGGCTGGTGGATTTGAACTGCCAACCTTTTGGTTAGCAGCTGAATGCATTCATCTTAGCACCAGCAGAGAAGAGATTTCTGAATTATGTTGTGTGATCATAATTGTCGGGCATGCAAATGATTCCACCACTACAGTGAAATCCCTCTCGTTTGTATACTGTGATAGAGTTTAAGATCTTAATGCTTCAAAGAGTATTTAAAATATTGATCCATAATAATACGTGTTTTAGAATACTAAAGAATAGATGTCAAGTCTGTACCCACCCCTCAGTGTTGATTAAATGCATAAAATTGAATAATCATTTTGATTGTTGTTTTTTAAAAAATGCATTGTAAACTATCCTTTTTCCTCTCCCTTCTAGTTTAAGAAATAGAACTATTTCAACTGAAGCCCCTTTGTATTCTTCCCCAATTCTTCCTTATTTCTCCCACAAAGGTAAATATTTCTTTAGTTTGGTGTGACATCCATTTAATATCTTTTGGCTTACCAAAAAAAGCAGAAAGCTAATCTTGTTATGATTTGCTGTGTTTGACCTTTGAATATTGTGCACTGATGCAAGGATAGGTGGGCTTATAGACTAGAAGAGGCAGCCGGAAACCGGGTCCCATCCTTGTGGTTATTTTATATTTTGACAGAGGTAGGAAGGCAAGAGGAGCCCTGTCAGTGTTTTGGTTAAGCACTGTACTGCTGATGGAAAATTCAGCAGTTTGAAACAGCCAGCTGCTCTGAGGGAGAAAGATGTGGCAATCTGCTTCCATAAAGATGGTGATTGTTTTTGTTGTTGTTGTTAGGTGTTCATTGGGTCGACTGTGACTCATAGCAACTCTTTGAACAACAGATCTGAATCTTGCCCTATGCTGTGCCATCCTCACCATCTCTGATTTGCTTAAGACCATTGTTAAAGTCACTATAAATCCATCTTGTTGATGATCTTCCAAAGATTACAGCTTTGGATACCCAGTAGAGGGTCAGCTATGAGACACTTCTGACTCAGCAGCATTGAGATGAGAGGTGACCCATAAAATTTGTAATCTTGAGAGCTGCACCTAAGGAAATAAAATTAAAGTCAACTTAAGCTATATAAATCACCATTACATGATAATCACTTAAGAGTTTTATGTATCTGAAGGTTTTGTGCTGTGGAATCTAAGTTTTTTCTAGTTAATTTTCATTGCAGTAAAATTAACATGGCTGATAACTCTAGTGGCCTACTGGTAAAGAGTTGCACTGTCAACCAGAAGACACATGGTTTGGATCCAGTGCTGCTTCGTGAGATAAAGAAGAGCAGTCTTTTTGTGTGATTAACAGCATCTGGAACCCGCTGGAGGGTCAGCTATGAGTCATTTCCGACTTGATGGTGCACAGCAACCACTAATCACAAAACTTGGGCTGTACTGTGTACTATTTATTCCTACATATTACGTTTTCTTAGATGTTGTTTGTTGTTAGGTGGCTTCAAGTCAAGTATGACTCATAGCGACCCTATGAACAAAAGATCTGAACCCTGTTCTGTCCTGTGCCGTCCTCACACTTCTGACACAAAAGAGCCCATTGCAGCAGTCACCGTGTCAGTCCAACTGGTTGAGAGTCTTCCTTTCCTTCCCCGACCCTCCACTCTTCCCAACATCATGTCCCCCTACAAGGAATAGCACCTCCGAGCAAAATATCCAAAATATTTGAGGCAAAGCCTCGTCATTCTTGCCTCCTAAGAGCACTCCAGCTGCACTCTCTTCAAGACAACTATTCATTCTCTTTGCCATTCACAGGATATTCAGTGCTCTTCTCCAACACCAGCTCAAAGGTGTCAATTCTTTTTCTGTCATCCGTATTCATAATTGTTATATATTTATCTCTATTTTGAGAAAATGATTTTGTTTTGATTTTACATTTTCATACAAAAATAGGTTCAAAACCTATTTTTTGTGTGTGTGTTTTCAAAACACACAACAAACCCACCGCACTGTCATTGAGTCACTCGTAGTGACCTGGTAGGACAGGGCAGAACCATTCCTTAGGGCTCCCACGGCTGTACTCCCCCACCCTGCTGGAGAAGACCTGGAGCAGGTGAGGGCGTCGGAAGTCTATGGCAGTTCTCCCGCCATCACATGAAGCCTCTGTGCATCAGTCAGCTCCTCCACACAGGTTATATGGAACCCTGCCCACATGTGGAATAAGCAGATTCAAATGAGAAATGCCACTTCATTCCCTTCGAAATGATCCTACCTAGTTTCTCAAGTTATTTTAGTATCTATAACAAATCATTTGCAAATCAGTTATGAGGGATTTCTCCCCTCATCCCCAGAAGCTGTCAGGATCTGAGCAGATAATATGGGCCCATGGTTATAGAGATTTTTCATAAATGTCCATTAAGAAAGTAAAGAAGATCAAGTCATAGTTAAATCTTTATTTCTGTATTGCATAGTTTTAGATAATTGTTTTAAACCTCCCAGCCCAGCCTTAACTGAATGATTGCCTCAGGAAACACTGTGAGGCAGTTCTGCTCTGTCACATGAGGTCACTGTGAGTCAGATCCACTTGATGATAATGGCTTGTCCTTTTGTTTTGCTTTTGCCATTTAATTACAAACAATACTTTCTCCCCCTTTTTTTTGAAGGTGATATGGAAAGCCCTGTGTTTGCATTTCCCCTCCTCTTAAAGATAGAGCCTCAGATTGAGAAACTTTTCATGTATTCTTTTTCCTGGAACTTTGAATGTTCACATTGTGGATACAAGTATCAAAACAGGTGAGTTTTTTGCTTTTGGAGTCATCTTACCCTCCCATGGATTAATTCTGAATGATTGTGTTCCAGCATCATGAGATCTGAATAAAACTCACGTCTCCCTCTAACACTGTATGGGCTCTCTTGCTCACATGCTGTCTTTCTCATCTAAAAATATATTACTTAAGTATTTATAATCTAAAGGTAAGGCTACCTTTTTTTTTATTCAATAAACAGTCAAAGAGAGCTAATTTAGCAGACTCCTCTAAGGAATGCCGGAAACTTGTCATTTTACAGTGAGTTTCTGCGTGCTGGGGGATAAGTAGCATTTCCCCTCACACTTGGACTTGTAAGCAAGCCAGAATGAGAGCAAGCATCGATTTCTAGATCTCCTACATTGATCTCCATGTAAATTATCTGGTTTCTTCTCAACTGTAACACTGTGAGGAAAATCTTAAATGTCCTCCCTTGGATTGTGTACGCTGATGTTTGAAAGGATATCTTAAGGAGTTGCCCGAGACAACATAGTCCTACCTGGCAGACAAGATTCAGACTTTGACTTTAGTGACCCACTCACTTGTCTTGCTCACTGTGGTATACACTCCTTAACCATCTCCTGGATTTCCAAGAGTATACACCGCTCAGCTGCTAACTCATTGCTGTCTACCTGAAACCAATGTATAGCTCAGCCTCTAGGGAGGATACCACCCATCTCTTTCTTCCTCGACCATGCCACCAGAGCTTCCTATAAACACACTAAATGATGAAAATCCACTTGCCTGCAGCTTTTCTAGACTTGACATCTTCGTTATTTGAGTGTGCTCTGCATGCCAAGAACTCATCTCGACCCTGGAAATTGTATCTATCCTGACAGAACTTGGACGTACCTGGATAGTGCAAACAGTTGACATACTCAGCTGTAAGGAAAAGGTTGGAAGTTAACATTCCTCCAGAGTGCTGCAGAAGAAAGGCCTGGTGATTTGCTGCCAACCGGTCAGCTGTTGAAAATGGTAACAGAGCCCAGTGCTAGTCTGACACAGACTAGTTAGCGAATCAGATGAATTAGGGCATTAGCATGCACACAGAGCACCCAATAATTGGTGTGTTGGGTAATGAAAATTGTCTTTGAGTACAGGGGGCTAAGGGTATTTTGGAGGCATACAGAAAATAATCTGAGAACAAGAAAATACTGTTTTATAAAGATTTCTTCACATACCGTATTTTTGGTTCAACCTGGATGTTTAACTATTACACTTCTGGAGTCTTAAGTGGACTTACTGCCGCTGCTTCATCCCTAGAGCTTGCTCCTCATTCTTATGGTGGTTATTTTAAATTTTTAAAGGTTGTCGTTTTCAGCTTCAGCATCAAACGCCCCATCTGCTGTGGCACCTTGCTTATTTGTGGGTTTGTTGTAGAAGAGCACACTGCCATCTTGTTTGTCTTTCCAGGACTCTGGAGTGGTTTTTTATTTGTTTTTGTTTTAATTTTTTTGTTTAGGCAGAAGTATTCCTCTTCTAAAGATCATTTTTTTAGATCATATTCCTATCAAGTATTGAGATGAAAGTGTTCATTTAGAATGGTTCACAGCCGATTTAATATTGTATCAAGAAAGTGGTATTGTGTATCTTCTCTGATTATATTATTGAAAATACCTTTTGGATTATTCACTGTGGGTTTTCAGGAATAGCTGCGCAGGTTGTGAATTGTCTGAGGAAGGCCCAAGTTTTTAATGCATTTTGAAAACCTGAATCCATGGTTCTCAAGTAGGGAGGGGCATATGGTGGTGTCTGTAAATGACGTTATCACAATGGAGGAGTAAAGGATGTTGCTGGTGTCTCAGCAGAGGACAGGCCCTCCCAACTGGGAATCAGTCACCTTGCAGCTGAGAAACCTTTCCTTAGAATAATGTTTTCTTTATCTCCTGGATAAAAACAACAGGTAATTAATGTGGAGATCTTTCATGGAGAAAGGAAGACCATTGCCATATCCACATACTATGTGCTTTGAGAGAGCATGAAAGTGTAAATAACCAAATGAAACTTTAGCCATCAGCTTAAATTTTCCATTCTTATAATGGAAATGCATTTTCATTCTGTTGTGTTCTTTTTTGTTTTTACATAGGTGTATGAAGACTCTGGTCACCTTTACACATGTCGTTCCTGAGTGGCACCCATTGAATGCTGCCCGTTTTGGCCCATGTAACAGTTGCAGTAGTAAATCACAAATATGGACAATGGCCTTGGAAAAGTAAGTTAAAATCACTCCACAATTCTTAGAGCCAGTTAAAGGTGGATTTCATTGTAGTCAGTTTATGGATTGAAAGTGACAACTCTGCTCTACCTTCCAGAAGTTTCAGTCCAGTTTTAAGTTGTCAGATGCGTCTCTGTAATGAACTGCAGCCATGGCAAGCTGTCCTAGGCTAAATTCCACTGAAGTGCTGATGTAGTTAGGTTGTTAAATGCCATCAAGTCAAGTAACAACCTGTAGTGACCCTGGGAACAACAGATCTGAACCCTGTTGTATCCTGTGCCACCCTCATGATTCCTGACAAATTAGCCCATTGCAGCAGTCACTGTGTCAATTCATCTGCTTGAGGGTCTTTCTCTCTTTTTCTAAACCTCCATCTTTCCAAGCATGACATCCCTCTCCAAGGAGTAGCCTCTCCTGATTTATCGTTCTCCTCTTTTGTTTTTTCCACTTCTTTAGGGATATTAAGCTTCAATTTTCTCTTCTGCTCACATATCTGGAGTCACTCAGATTCTGGAATAACCTTAACTTAATTTCCAGATCTGAGATGATTCAAAGATGAGTTGTAGACTCATCTCTGCATTTTCATCACTCAGACCTCGGTCTGCTAATTCTTCATCATCTTCTAAGCTCTCTGCTCCCCTTGAGCAGATGAGTTCTCTTATTTTTTGTTCAGCGTTTTCTATTTATCCTCACCAAAAAGGCTAGTTAGAATTCTTTTTCCTAGTATGAATAGATGCCCAGTTCTATCTTAGTTTACCTTCATATTTTCAGTGTACCTTTTTGTGACTCTACATTAGGAACACATAACTTGATAAAAAAAAACAGTGGCATTAACCTCTGATGCTTTTGAATGTGCCAAGAAAAACCTTTCAGAGTATTCCCTAAATGTTAATTTGCTTTGAAGTAATAAATTCTCAGTCACCGTCATAGGGCTGAAAGTGTTAACAGAGCAGTCCCTTTCCTTACCCCCCTTCTAGGCATCTACGAGAAACTCTGAAATGTATTTACCATGACATTTTGAAGTGATGGGTTATTCTGTGCAGTCCCGTCTCCTTTTATAAACTATAAAAGAATTGGAAAAAGCTGAGAATTGGGGCTCTACACTAACATCTGACCCATATTTCTATGAAATCTCTTCCTGTACTTCCAAAAGAGTCCCTGAGCTACTAGTTCAAGGGTTGGTGGTTCAAACACACCACTGCTCTTATGGAAGAAAGATTAGGTTATCTGCTCACATAGAGAGGCACAGCCTCAGAAACACCGTGGAACAATTTTCTCATCTTGTGAGGATCATTATGAGTTAGAAATGAGTCAACAGCAGTGATTTGGTGTGTCTTTCCAATGTGATATTTATGCTTTCCAATGTGATATTTATGCTTTTTTATCAGCCTTTAGTGTTTATCTTACACATACCTTAATTATTCCCTCTTAAGCCAAGTTTGTTCTTTTGTGTTCTGTTTCTTTTAGAACTCTTCACTTTCTCTTGACTTACAGTTGCCTTTGTTTTTATTTGCTTTATGTTGTTTGTATTGCTTTTTTTTTTGCCTCCCAAATTCTTCCAACATCTGTAATTTCCTAATGTTTCCCCATTCTAGCCCCGAGTAAGTATCTCATTTTTCTGTTTCTCTGGGCTCCACGCTTTAGGGTGTCCTTTATACACACTTTCAATGACTGCATTTGTTTTTGGCCCAGGGCCTCCACTCTACTTTCACCAAAAAGTTTTCTCTAAATATTGAGTCTTCAGGGTTCAGTTGGACCGATGCACACTGCTCATCAGTTTGCTTGCTTGATGGCACTTACTCATCCCTTCCTGGCTGCTGTCTGAGTTATGCATCTCTTTTGGTTTTCTAAGTGCTTATTGATGTTTCTTTGTGTCTCCTTCCCTTTTTTGGCCCTTAGGTAGCATTTGATGTCGATTCATTGGCTTGATGGGGTGAGAGGGAGGAAGGGGTATCTGTGTCCAGAGTCTTATCATCTCACTTAGCCCCCTGGTGTCAAGGGTTTAAGATGAATCCTTCTTGCCCCTGTTTAACACCTTGTTTAAGCTCTGTCCTTTGAGGAGGAGGAAGACAGTGAATGTGCATTTCTACACATTTACACTGGGTGATTGGATGAAACTCGCTTCTTGGTATTATATGTAATTTGATAGAACTCTGTTTATACTTCCCTTTTTTCTCAAGTCCCTGCATTGAGGATAAACATGCTATTTATTTTGTTTAATTTGTTAATTGGTTGCATTGAAGCATATGTACTTACGTACTGCTGAGTCAGAATCTACTCGAGCGGGAGCTGGAGCTGACCCTCCAGCGAGTTTTCAGCGGCTGTGAATCTAATGAAAGAAGATTGCCCATCCTTCCCCCGTGGAACAGCTGGTGGAGTAGAATTTTTGGAATTATAATGCTGTTTCTTAATACTTAAACAAATAGGATCTTTTATGTCTTAGTCTGGAAATGTGTCCGTCAGATAAAACGGTTTCAGTGGAAAATTGTATTGAATTCCATTGGGCAGATTTGCAGGTTAGACATTTCCTATATTCTTAAAAAGTGAATTGTAACTAATGTGTACAATTTCATGGACATTTTGACTGACAAGATCTTTATAATGGTCTTCATAATATTTTGCTTAAAAATTGGGTGTAACTTGGCATTTAATCCTATAATCCCTGGAGTGTTGGCTGTAACCAAAATACCAAGCATATGTAGCAGTTAGAATCCACCATCAGCTTCAGGGGAGAGAGATGGGCTGTCTTCCATTAAGATTTGCAGCCTTGAAAACCTGAAAGAGGGTTGCGGTGAATCAGGACTCGATGGCAGTGAACTGGAGGTATTTGTTGTTTTGGGGTTCTTTTAATGGATTTTAGGAGCCAATTTAATAATAATTTTTAGAGATAAGTTAAAAATAGGTCTATCATGGTGTGCAATTCAGTCCTCGAGCATCCTGAAAGCTAATACAGCTGTAAGTTCCCTGACTGCCTTGTCACATAACCTACATCTGCAGTGTGTTCCCATGAGAAACTGATTTCCTTGCTAAACCAGGTGAATGAATGATAACTTGTGTGAGCAGATGTGCTACTTTAAGAACATTATTGAGGAATAACACTGAGAATAAACCTCTCATTATTGCCACAGGACTCTAGCCTGATACTTTCCTAAACTGTCCCTTGAAAATCTTAAGTATATAGTTTATAAATATTTGTTGACCAGTTGTTTTTCTGAAGTTAGATTTTTCTGTTACAGTGACTCGAGTATTTCTAATTATTTGAATTATAGCCAATCACATACATTTTAATGAGGAGACTTCAGATTCTTGTTGTGTCTGTGGGTGCTAGGGCTGTTCTTGCACTTTCTCCTTTGTTTTCTTTCCTGAGGATATGGTGGAAAGAGCTTAACTCCATATTAAGGCAAATGCAAATGGATCTTAGCTTGAACTCTGCTTCACTCTCAGTTCTAGTTCTCTTGGCCCTTCCTGTCCAGTTTTTCTGTGGATAAGGTACAACCTAACTTGATTCTTCACCTTTGGACTCATCTTGTACTGAGGCTCCAGACATTGGGAACAGAAGAATCCTGAGATAAGCCAGAATTGGGTGGTGGGGTTGGGTGATGTGGCTCCTGAGGGACATGCACTCACTCAAAGTGGAAAATAAAGTAGAAAGGAAAGAATGAATGTGCAGTAGCATCCTCTGTATTAGTTCACCTCCACAATGCCATTGTTTGTAACTAGCACCATTTATAAATATGTTCTTGAGAAAGAAATACTGTCTGTGAAGTGGTAAACCATCATTATAAGGTGGAGGCCAGTCTCAGAGATTGAAAATTTGAGATGGGGGTGGGGTGATTTGAAGTGCCTTTGGAATTTAAAGAATGTTGATGTGATAGAAAATCAGATAAAGGATTCCCTGAAGGGAATTTGGTTTGCTGAGAGGATGTTGTTTTTTACTTGTTAAAATTGCTATAATTGCTTCCCCTTGTGTTAGATAATGAAGTTAAATTCCTACCATATGAGTTTTTCTGGCAAATAATTTCTTGTTATCTAGGGAAGTTTGCTAGTGTTTAGAGTTTAAGTATTGTGTAGTGTTCAAAGAAGTATACTAGGTGTGATACTTATTCTTTTCTATTTTGGCTTCCAGTAGAGAGGCTATTTCAGAAGGTTTGGGGTATTACAGAGTGATGATTTTTATCAGCATTGTTTTATTTATTATATTACATGTTTATAAACAAAGCATTTTGCATGTGTTAAGCTCACACACTCAGATCAAGAGATTAGTGGGATTGCATAGCCTAGGGATCAACAGGGGAATGTTTATCCCCTGTGGATATCTTGAAAGGTATCTTATGACACCACAGGAGCTGAATTAGTAATCGAAGAGTAGGAGAGACACCAAAACCTGCCTGTCCAGCTGTGAGAACGCAGTTCTCATTTCCCTGTATCTTTGAGTCAGAGAGCCACTTAATTCAGATTTTAATGTATCTGAAGTGGGAAGAAGTTGGAGAATATACCTGAAAATAAATGGCATGGCACATTTAAAAAATAACTGCATTCTCCCATATTGGTGCATTTTACAATCACTGATATCTTAGATGTAATGAAATAAGGTTGGAGGATTTAGATTTTTTAAAACAGGAAAGAGGTTATTACAGATGGTTTTGCAGGACGTTTTTTAATTTATAGACACTTAAGTTAGGAAGACATGGTTCTCCACCAGAATGATTGACAAAGGCTAATTTACAGTATGTCTCTTGTCAATCTGAATATCTGCATTTTGGACATTGATTCAAGTTCATTTCTGCCGAATAAATTTCATAAGCAAATTTTGACAGCTGTTTAAATAGGGAGAAAGGAATACTTGACCTTTTCCTTACGTGCTAAGAATATTGTTCAGTTTTAACCTTTCCAGGCCTGCTTTTGGTTTTCTTTGGTGATTTGGCTATTGTAAAGGCAAAAGACCATTTTAGATTTAGGAATGTGTGAGAGTGTGCAGTAAATCAATCAGTATGTTGGTTTTTGTTGCAATGTTTTTTCGGTCTTTACCAGTTTACCAGATTGAAAGCTTTGGAGATGTGTGCGTTACATGTTCCACAGCTAACTGGAAGGCCAGCACTTCAGTCCACAAGTTGCCCCATAGGAGAGAAATGAGGAAACTCTTCTGTCAAGATTTCCAGCTTTAGAAGCTGATGAAGGGTTTCCATGAGAGTGGTTTAGTTAGAAGTTGAGCCTTTTACTAGATAGATATTTTCATTTCTACTCTGTGAGAAAATGCCAGTTTAAAGCATTTAAAAAAAATTATTGGTTTTTGTACATGCACGTACATCGTGCATCCTTATGTACGTTGTGTTTTATACAGTTGTTTGTATACCTTGTGCTGTATATATTTAATTACTGTTGAGCAATACTTCTCATTTTCTCACTTAATAGTCTGTCAAATGGTTTCTGTATTGGTAAAGTTTGCATTGAGTTGGGTAAAAAACATATATTTTTACTTTTTCTCCATTAAAAACAGGAATGTGTATTTCCTCCCTTATAGTTAATAAAATTAGAGTTATTTTTAAAATGGAAAAAATGTTTCAAAAGTATTTTCACTATCTTAGGTATGTTACTTTGGTTTATATGCTGCCCATCCCACCCACAAAAGCAAACAATTTGCACACATTGATGGCAAAGGAAGTTGTAGATTGTGTGGATTTTGCCCTTTGAGTCTACAGATGAGCTTCTCTGAGATCTTTAGCTCCAGCATCAGCACGGCCCCTCACAGAACCATTTTTGTTTCATGGGTGGTGGGAGAGCCTTGCTGGAGGTTTGCTCCGAGCCCTGGCGAGGCTATTCCGGGACAGTCTAGTGTTACAGGCGGACTTCTTAGCAGTCTCCATTTCTAATTATGGCACACATCTGGAGTGGCTTGAGAAAAGTACTCGCAGTCAGTTAGCCCTGAAAGTTGTAGCCTGAGACCATCTTTTGTCTCACTGGACATTCAATACTCAATTTGTCTGCCTTCTCTTGTCTTTCCTTCCCCACAGAATACCTCCCCTCTTCATGCTGCACTTTGTGGAAGGCTTACCCCATAATGACCTAGGGTGGTATGCATTTCATTTCGAAGACTCCCCTTATCAAGTAACTTCGGTGATTCAGTACCAAGCAAATAATCATTTTATAACATGGATTTTGGAGGCTGATGGTAAGTGTTTCTACTTTTTTCTTCTCTAATAGCCTAAATACCAGTTGTTGTAGTTGTTGTTGATTGCCATGGAGTTGAGCATTACTCATAGCGACTCTGAACAAAAGACTCACAGCAACCCTATGAACCACTTAAGGGAGGCTTAAAAAAGGAGTCTCCTGATCTTGGCTTTTCTCTCATTCTCCTCCCCCCTTTTTTGCCCTGGTCTTTTCTTTATTTATAAGCAATAGCTGATTGTGTTTTGGGTGAAAATTTACCCAGCAAGTTAGGCTCCTTTTGACAATTTTTGCACAAATTGTTCAGTGACTTAACATTTAGTTAATTTTTCATGCGGTGTCATTTTCTTTGTTTTCTGGATGTTCCATTTCCAAAACTCTTGTTACCCTGCCCCCTTAGCTTCTAATCTTTACTTTGGAAAATGTTGGCCTGTTGGACTCATACAGATGGCTTTTTTTGAGTAGAGCACAAATCTAATGTTTATTTGTGGACTCCTCTGATTTTCAAGGTTTGACATGAACCTTGGGGCATTAATCTCGGCCTCTGACTCACGTGGTCTGGCTTGCTGGCCGTATTTGTGAATTTGAGTGGTGGTCTGCATTTTTCTCCCTTCTAACTGGGACCCTCTGTGGTACAGTCAGATTGGTCAGTAATGGTAACAGGTGCTTGTCAGATGGTTGAGGTGATTCATTCGTGTAGACTGTAAGCCTGTAGGTTTGTTTCTTCTTAGAGTTTTGGTTATCTTCTTGTTCTTTTACTCTTTACAAATATAGACCTGTATTGAGTCTTAGACAGCAGCTCTCACTTCTTAGACTCAGACACTCCTCATCTTATTAGTGAATTTTGTGAACCGTTTTATCCCAATTGACTGAGTTGTTCCATGAGACTAAGGTCCTAGTGAGCTTTCAGACTGAGAAAACTAATCTCACAGGTGTCTGGTTATATTTGAGAAACGTCTGTAACCATGTGGTCCATGATTGCATGTCTGCATAACACACCTGCCTGTACACCTGTATGCCCAGACACATACGAATGTGATCACACTTTTTCTTCATTGTTGATTTCATTGCCAAATTATAGATGGCAGTTTCTTTAGTACAAGCATCCTCTTCTGAGCATTTTAGTGCCTTTCATTTAAACCTGTGCTCACTACTCCCACTTGAGTATTCATCATCTAGAACATGCATTCCTCTGCTTCCCTCCTCCCACTGTTGAATGTTGTTGTTGTTGTATGACATTGTGTCAAAACTGTAAATGGCATGGGAAGAAATAAGACAATTCTTCTCCCACAGAGCACCTGGTAGATTTGAACTGTGTCCCATATTAATCATTCTTGATGTGTATCTACTCTTAGAAAAATGAGATCTTTGTGACTTTGCCCATAAGTGTTTGACATACTTCCCTAGCCTTAAGCCCTCCAGATCCATTCATGTTATGCTGTGTGTCATGGATTCATGGGTGGTGGTGGTGGTGGTGGTGGTGGTGGTTGTGTGGTATTCCACTGCTCATGTTTTGCTTATGTATTTTTCCACTGATGGACACTTGGCTTGTTTTTTTTGTTTGATTTTTTGGTTTTTCCTTTTATGAATAAAACTGCAGTTGAACTAGATGGGGATCTGTGTCAGTGGTATTAGGCCTCTGTCATCTTCCTTAGGAGTGAGATAGCAGGATTGTGGTGCATGCAGTTCTGTTTTTCGCTTTTTGAGGAAAATGCTACACCACTGCCACTTTACAGTCCTGCTCTAGTAATTGATGAAGGTTCTATTTTCCTCACATCCTTTCCATCATTGTTGTTCATTTGTTAAAATAGTGCCGTTCCAGTTGGTGTCTCAGTGCCATATTTGTATCTCTGAAGGCTAATGGTCGTGACTGCCTTTATGTGTGCTGGCTCCTGGAATGTCCTTTTTGGAGAAGGTTCTGTCATTGTCTTTTGCTCATTTTATAATTAGTTTGTTTTTCTTTTTGTTGTTGAATTATTAGCATTTTCTATGAATTTTGGAAGTTAGTCCTTTACTTATGTCATCTGTGTCTATTTTCTCCCAGTGTATACATTCTATTTTTATGTCTCCTGGACATAACTTTTTAAATTTTTATGAAATTGTACCTGTTTTGCTTTATTCTAGTCTTGTACGGATTGTTATCCTACTTTCATAAATATTTTTGTCTCATCGTTTGGCTCCCAGGAATTTTATGATTTTATATTAACATTTAGGTCTTTGATCCATTTTGAGTTGATTTTGTGTAATGTGTAAGATGTGGGTCTGGTTTCATTTTTCTCTAGGTGGATATCCAGTTTTGCCAGCACTATTTATTAAAGACCTTTTCAGCCTCCTAGAATGGGCTTTGCCATCTTGTCAATTGTTTATACAGAGCTGAATGTAATTCTTAGTTCTCAGTGTTACTGTTCTGGCCCATGAGTCTGTCATTGAGTCAGCATTACATTGTTTTGATCATAGTGACTGTAGAGTATATTTTAAGATCAGGAGATGTGAGGCCTCTGTGTTAGTTCTTTTTTTTTATCCCCTTGGGTTATTTGGAATTTCTTTCCTTTCCATATGAAATTGCTTCTTTTCCATCTCAGTAAAGAATGTTGTTGGATTCTGTGTTGACATTATATGTGTAGTTCACTTTCCGTAGAATTGATTTTTTTACTGTATTGGATCTTCCAGTCCTTGCATGTATGTCTTTCCATTTCAGTAGGTTTCTTGTAATGTTTTGTCATTTTCATTGTACAAATCAAATATTCCTTTTTCATTCTTTTCATTTTTCCACCTTTCCCTCAACAAACCTCACCACTATCACAAATTTGGTAGTTTCATTACTTTTCTAACATCATTCTCAGCTCATATCAATGTGTGTAGGCAGCTACATGAAAGAAGCTCTGGTGGTACTACGGTTAAAGCACTCAAATGTAAACCAAAAGATTGACAGTTCAAACCCACTCCATGTGAGAAAGATGAGATTGTCTACTCCCAAAAAAAAGATTAACAGATTCAGAAACCCTGTGGAACAGTTCTACTCTGTCCTCTAGGGTGTCACATCCAACTTAATGGAAGTGGATTTGGGTTGGGGTTTGGAGTGCAACTATACATGTAATTGACTTGTGTTTTGGACAAAGGATTCCATGCAGCTTGTTGTCCACACTTTACTCTCCCCCCACTTAAGATCTTTGCTTAAGCTTTGGGGGGGGTTTATTATTACATGAGGAATAGTTCATTATAATGAAAGCAAATGGTGAGAATATTAATTTTTTACTTCTTTTAGAAAGACTGTAATTCACACTGCAGGTTTTTGATAAAAAAAGAATTGCAAAATTAAACTAATTTTGCTTTTAATTTGTGATTGTTAGAAAATGTAAGCAAAACCAGAAGAATTAAAATGTGAATTTCTAACAAGATTAGGCTGTAGAGACGAAGTGGCCTGCGCCTCTTGTGAGATAAGTGAAATCCATGGTTTGTTACCTGCACTCAGGATAAAGCCTTGATCTAAATAGTTGCACCTCACAGAAGGCTAAATAAGTATGGTTTATGAATTTTGAGGTTTTATCCCTTTGGTTCCTCTAATGTGTATAATAATGAATTTTTTTTACACTGTTCACTCCGTCTTAGACAAGATAATGTCATCCTCTTGATAAGTATGCCAGCCACTTGGTAAGCTACCAAGCTTTATAACTACAAAGCTTTATAGCATTTCTGTCATTTAGAGGACACCCTGGTGGTGCAGCAGTTCAGTGCTTGATTGCTAACTGAAAGATCAGTGCTTAGAACGACCATCCATGCTGGAAGAGATCTGTCATGGTCAGCTTCCGTTGAACACTATGGGGCAGTGCTTCTTTGTCCTCCATTAGGGTCACTCATGAAGTCAGAACTGTCTTTATGGCAGCAGCCTTGGGGATTTTTAAAAAATACTTTTCATATTCTAAAAACTCTTGAACTTTTTCTCTTAGGATGATTTAATTGAATAACACACCAGTGTGTTACATAAAAGTTTTCTGTAAACTCGGCTGTATGGCGCTTTCTCAAAAAGTTGCAAATAGAAATACCATTTTACCCAGCAATTCCGCTACTGGGAATATACCCAAAGGAACCATTAACTGCCACCCAGGCAGATATATCCACACCTATGTTTATCGTGGCTTTGTTCACAATAGCAAAGAGTTGGAAACAACCTAAGTGCCCATCAGCAAATGAATGGATAGAGAAGCTGTGGTATATTCACCCAATGGAATACTATGCTGCATTGAAAAACAAGGAACTCATGCAATATTATTCAAAATTGGTGACCCTGGGGAACATTATGCTGACTGAAATATCTCAGTCACAAAAAGACAAATACTGGCGAGCTCTGGTGGCCTACTGGCAAGAAGTTGCACTGCAGTCCCAGAGGTTCGCAGTTCAAATCCACCAGATGCTTTGGTGGAGAAGGAGGAACAATCTCCTCCTGTACCAGTCAGATCTGATTTGACAGTACACCAAAAAAATAATAAAATATAAAATAAATTAAAAAAAAAAAGACAAATACTGCATAGTGCCACTGTTGTAGAATGGGACTGACATCAGGATTGGGGTGAGACTGAGAAAAATTGGATAAATTATGTTTACTACATTGAAACAGACGAGGGAGAGAACAGTTTAATGGTAATATATGATTGAGTATTATTATGACAAGAGTCCAGAATGAAGGTTGCATAGTGGAGCATACTCGGTTTGGGGGCGTTGTATATCAATGAAGGAATTTTTCTTTTACTTTTCAAAGAGAAGAGCAAACTGGAGGGGAGGGATGGGGCAGGGAGAAAAATGCAAGAATGAATGAGTAGAAATCCAAAATCTCTGTAAATGTTCATTAAAATTAATTAAAAAGAAAAAAGCCTATCTTATGTAGAATCATTGTATGCCTTCCCTACACACAGGATAGGTTCAGTATGATTTTGCCAATATTGAACAACTGCAAACTTGAAATAGGAATTTGCTAAGAGAATCACAGTGCACAATAAAAGAAAAAAATTTTTAAAAAAAACCCAACCAAACCACCTTTCTGTAAACCGAAACTCAATGGTATAAATCCAATTCCTACCCTAAAGTTTAATCCTGCTTTTGAATTTGGGGTTAAAGTTTCCACTAACATTAACCAAAACTGCAAACCAAAAAGAAATTTGAACCACCACATCAATACATTTTCCTTTTCCACTGCCTTGTAGAAATTGAGTTACTCAGCAACAACAGTGCTACCTTAGAAATGGAATTTGTCTGTAGTAGCCGATGGAGAAAGGTGTTCTATGCTTTCTAACCCTCCTCATTCCTTAGGATTAGTTCTCTAGAGGAAGTCTTTGAAACTGTAAGTCCTCTTACTCCCCACACTCTCATGATAGGGTCTGTCTCAGTGTTAGAATGTGGATTTGATGGGTATGTCACATCCTTATTGGTCAGGAGACACCTTAAGTCTTTTTTCAAAAAGACAAGGTGTGTGTAAACTTAGTGCCCATCTAATGAGGTAAAATTGCTTGGATGATGTTGTTGTTGTTGTTATTGTTATGTGCCGTAGAGTTGCTCGCGACTCATAGTGACCCTATGTATAACAGCCCTAAACTCTGCTCTGTCCTGTGCCAATCGCACTGTCTCTGACACTCCCATCCCAATTATCCCAGTCACTGAATCAATCC